ATCCCTACACAAGTATTTATAACCATTCCTGTGTTCTGACCTCAATTGTCGTGCTATATCATTTATTTTGGTATCAAATCGTTCACAATCTAAAGGCACGCATTTGAAAACTAGTCCCATAATAATCAACAATAAATGTAATTTTTAACAAATATTTTAAATGTTGATGCAACATGCGTCACCAGCAGACACCCATCAATTTATTTATTGACGCAGACTGCATCGCGCTGGACGAAAGTGTCAAGAGTTGTCAATATTTCTGAAATAAATGTTGGTTTTAAATGGTTCTATTTGTTTTCTTCTTTTTCCATGAACAAATTTTGAACACTAATAAATAAAGGGTCTGCAGTACAGTTTGGTTCATTCTTGACTCTCAATTGGAAATCCTGTGTGTGAATCCCAGGAGGGACAGAAATGATTGGATATATTTCCTATCACCCAATGTGTCTGTTCACTTAGCAGTAAATAGGTACCCAGGAGCTAGTCAGCTCGTTGTGGGGATGCATCCTGGGAAGAGTCAGTAATTCAACCTTTGGGGGTCCTCAATATAAGCCTAACAAGTATACATACATACATACACACACACACTAGGAAACAGGATTGGTTCAATAGAAATTGCGAGAGGGCTAGAGACCGAAAGACACAAAAATGGAATCAATACAGGAAGAGGCCGAACCCCCAAACATACCAGCGATACAAAGATGCGAGAAACAACTACACGGCAGTGAGGAGAGAGGCAGAAAGAAATTTTGAAAAAGGGATTGCGGACAAATGTAAAACAGAACCAGGTCTATTCTATAAATTCATAAACAACAAATTGCAGGTAAAGGATAATATTCAGAGGTTGAAAATGGGAAATAGATTCACGGAAGATGAAAAGGAAATGTGTGAAACACTAAACGAAAAGTTCCAAAGTGTGTTTGTACAAAATGAAATCTTTAGGGAACCAGATACAATAAGAATTCCAGAGAACAACATAGAACACATAGAGGTGTCTAGAGACGAAGTGGAAAAAATGCTCAAGGAGCTCGGTAAGAACAAAGCAGCTGGCCCAGATGGCGTTTCACCATGGGTTCTGAGAGAATGTGCATCTGAGCTCAGCATTCCACTTCACCTGATCTTTCAGGCATCCCTGTGTACAGGAATCGTAGCAGACGGGTGGAAACAGGCTAACATAGTTCCAATCTACAAAAGTGGCAGCAGGGAAGACCCCCTCAATTATAGACCTGTATCATTAACAAGTGTAATAGTGAAAGTATTGGAAAAACTAATCAAAACTAAATGGGTAGAACACCTAGAGAGAAATGATATAATATCAGACAGACAGTATGGTTTTCGATCTGGAAGATCCTGTGTATCGAATTTACTCAGTTTCTATGATCGAGCCACAGAGATATTACAGGAAAGAGATGGTTGGTTGACTGCATCTATCTGGACCTAAAAAAGGCTTTCGACAGAGTTCCACATAAGAGGTTGTTCTGGAAACTGGAAAATATTGGAGGGGTGACAGGTAAGCTTCTATCATGGATGAAAAATTTTCTGACTGATAGAAAAATGAGGGCAGTAATCAGAGGCAATGTATCAGAATGGAGAAATGTCACAAGTGGAGTACCACAGGGTTCAGTTCTTGCACCAGTGATGTTTATTGTGTACATAAATGATCTACCAGTTGGTATACAGAATTATATGAACATGTTTGCTGATGATGCTAAGATAATAGGAAGGATAAGAAATTTAGATGACTGTCATGCCCTTCAAAAAGACCTGGACAAAATAAGTATATGGAGCACCACTTGGCAAATGGAATTTAATGTTAATAAATGTCATGTTATGGAATGTGGAATAGGAGAACATAGACCCCACACAACCTATATATTATGTGAGAAATCTTTAAAGAATTCTGATAAAGAAAGAGATCTAGGAGTGGTTCTAGATAGAAAACTATCACCTGAGGACCACATAAAGAATATTGTGCAAGGAGTCTATGCTATGCTTTCTAACTTCAGAATTGCATTTAAATACATGGATGGCGATATACTAAAGAAATTGTTCATGACTTTTGTTAGGCCAAAGCTAGAATATGCAGCTGTTGTGTGGTGCCCATATCTTAAGAAGCACATCAACAAACTGGAAAAGGTGCAAAGACATGCTACTAAGTGGCTCCCAGAACTGAAGGGCAAGAGCTACGAGGAGAGGTTAGAAGCATTAAATATGCCAAAACTAGAAGACAGAAGAAAAAGAGGTGATATGATCACTACATACAAAATAGTAACAGGAATTGACAAAATCGACAGGGAAGACTTCCTGAGACCTGGAACTTCAAGAACAAGAGGTCATAGATTTAAACTAGCTAAACACAGATGCCGAAGAAATATAAGAAAATTCACCTTCGCAAATAGAGTGGTAGACGGTTGGAACAAGTTAAGTGAGAAGGTGGTGGAGGCCAAGACCGTCAGTAGTTTCAAAGCGTTATATGACAAAGAGTGCTGGGAAGACGGGACACCACGAGCGTAGCTCTCATCCTGTAACTACACTTAGGTAATTACACACACACACACACACACACACACACACAAGCTGCCTGTCCAGTGACAAAATGAATTTGTCATATCAGTATCAATAAAGAGTTATATTTGTCATATGAACTGATACTGGTGAAATTAATGCAATAGATTCAATCCAGTCATGCCACATCAGGCTCCTCAGAAAGAATGAGTTACACTGAAAATAAATATAAACCAAATTCACTACTTTCTGTAAACTAAACATTTATCTGTTATTTTTATATCAAAATAGAGAAAACACCAATACACTTTCTAAAATTTTTACTAATAAAAATACTCATTACCAAAATTGTTAAAAAGAATCTACTTCAAATGAAGCACCTGCCATTTTGGAAGGTGTCTGGTTCAAATTACCATAGCGTGCTTGAGTGGGATTCTGCTGTAATATTTCCCTACAGTTACCCAGGAACTTCCCACAAACACTCATATAATACTGTGCAGAAGGGAGCTAATGATAAACTATTGTTGTCAACATTATACATGTCATAAAAGTATTTTGATAAATTTAAATAGCTTATCTTTAATTTTGTTGAAAACTAAGTCAATATAGATGAGGTTAAAGGAATACAGATATTTTCAGAATTATATATACAGTACCCTAATGGTGAAAATGTTTAAGCTAGCCAAAAAAAATTCTTTGCAGATATTTGTACAGAATATCCATATATAGTTCACCGAATCCCATAAAGCACATTAAAAAGCTGTTCACAAAGCTTCAGCCAAATTATGTGTATGTGTCATGAGTAATTACATTTGTATAAAAATAAAGTGTGATAACATTAGGGCCACAGCATAAGAAATGATACTACAACCTCCACAAGCAAGTTGTCACATGAACCCCAATGTGTGGAACCTCAAGATATTAAAGCATAAATGTTATCACAGAGCTATAGCACGAGTGATACCTTTACACCGTAATACAAACTTTTCCGCAGGCCCTGCACATGTTAGATAGTAAAGAGTCTAATAAATTGGATGGTCTCATCAGTCTAAATATTTTCTGAAACATTTTTGAATTTAGGCAATTTGTACACAATAATAATAACAATAATAATAATGATGATGATATGAGTTATGATGATAGTAATATAAACAGTAACCAGAGACAGCTGCTCAAGAAGAAAAGAAATACTGAGTGCTATATATACACTAATACATTCTTATTTAAATAATGCATTTTCCCTATACCTGTATACAAAAAGGCATGTCCTATGAGATGAATATTGTAAACAAAAATTTAGTCTAAAATTAAAATAGAATTTCTAGATTATAAATTGGACAGAATTCTCATTCCCTTTCACGAGAGGCGATGTCATACATGAACTCGGCATATCAGCACAGTGCCCTATACACAAAGTAAAGTATTTGCCACAGATTAAAGGCACATAACCACATGCATTAGCACACATGAGTTATATCCAGAGTAAATAATATATCTCTAGGTTGATCACCAAAAGAATAAACTGGTGAAATTCCCTGAAAACCCTCAGGCATCTGCAACACAGACACGCTCTCTGCTTCTGAAGAATGACTAGGTAAATTCAAGGCACTAAAGGTTAACAAGGTTTTGAAGCAACAACAGTAGCCCTGTTATGTCCATTGGCATAACAGCTATTGTACCTTGTGTTCAAAATTATGTTTACCTTTTTTAACAGTTCATCTTCATGGCTTTCATCTACCAGTTATCATTATTTATGAATAAACATTATAATATGATTTATCAATATGGAAAGTTGCAGATAGAGCTAGCTATATATTGACATTATAACTAAATATATGTCTTGCATACTTGTTATTACCGACTCTCGTGGTTTACAAGATAAGGTAATCAAATTAATGTGTCTTTTCCTCCACTGCACATTAATTTACTCTTAATTTTTGTTTATACACACCTCATTCTGTAGTGCATCCTAGTTGTCTGTACCTCTGTTAATAAAGAAATGCGTTCTCACATCTCTACTAAAGATCTCGCTCTAGCTAAAGTAACACAGTTTTCCACACTTATTTGTTAATATTCCTTTGTGTGTTAGAAAGTAGATATAACTATATTTTTAACTTGAAGCTCATGATATGAAAAGCAGTGAACATGTTTAAATGTCTTTTCTATGACATGAAGTCTGAAAATGGAAAATTACCTTCCATTTTCCATTCATATTTCAGCTTAAACAGTCGTCAAATTTCTAAAATAAAAAATCTTTAAAATTTTGATTTGGGCACACTAAAAAAATTGTACTGTACTGTACTTGTATGACATCACTTCCCTCGGTCTTCGGAAACAGACGCTTGTGTAACTTTCCTTCATATATAGATTCATTTTAAAACATCTGTGATAATCCACATTTTTTTTTTAGAAACTACAGAATTTGCAATTCATATGCCATAATGGAGAATCTAAGAGTGTAAAGCTAAAAAGTAAACAACACCCAACTCACTTACCCTGCTAGGATGGGAGTCTTGGCAACGTCAACATTGTCAGATGGATAATGACCTGTGAACTGGGCATAATGCTGCTCTTTTTGATGCTGCGGGCTTAGTTGGTCTGCTGGAGCAACTGGTGGAGCTAGAAGAGAGAAAAAGGAGGGAAAAGTATTATGGATGCTATGGTGCACACACATGCATCCATTTATTTATTTGCAATTATTTATACACAATTTTTGTGTCTGAACTTAGTGTTATTTTTGTCAGCCACTAGCTTTCAGTGCCTATCCTTGTGTTTTGTGTGTACATGACTTGATAAGGGATCTCTAGCCTTGCTAGCCAGGTTTTACGTTGTGCAATCTGTTTTGCAATAAAGTTCCTAATGACCTGGTATTGGCTACTTCCTTTTCTTAACTTCACCATTTTGATGACAAAGGTACAATATTTTTTTGCATTTAAACTGACACTGAGATTTACCTTGTTGGGCTGAGGGTCCTTAGGTTTATCTGGCATATGGAGTTTGGATGGTTGCCTCATGGGAGTCTCCAACTAACCATGAAGCTTATGGAGCTGCTGCCAAGCTTTGGGCTGAGGTTATGCTTTATCAACAGTGGAGGTCTCTGCTCTAGTGATATGAATGGCTCTCATCTATTTACTTAATGATACAGCTTACCTGGCCCATTCAACTTTTGAGGCTTCAGGTCAACCATCTATTACTGACTCGTGTGACCTGGTAAGAATATAAACATTGCTGAACTCACCTGCCATAGTGTTGCTAATGAAGGACACATCCATCTTCTCATCCTTGGTTACATCTATGGGGAGAGAATCATCACCAAGTGACTTCATCTCATCCACAGTGAGGTACCGGTAAGATTGGTCACCAAGCATTGTGTCATCACCTACGAATAGCAGAAAAAAATAAAATACAAAATTTTTGTTAAAAGACAGAATAAAAAAAAATTATATATAATATATATATATATATATATATATATATATATATATATATAAATATATATATATATATATATATATATATATATATATATATATATATATATATATATATATATATATATATATATATATATATATTATATTATATTTATTTATTTTATACACACACAGTGGGACCTCGATTAATGAATTTAATCCGTTCCGGCACCGAGCTCATTATGTGAAACGCTCCTTTCAAAATTAATTAACCCATTTAAAATAATGTTAATAAAATTAATCCATTCCACCACCGAAAAACATCAATATGATATTCAATATTTTAAATAATGGAGCAGTCTACCTGACATATACTGACCAATCCTTTCTGACATTTTTTCATTTTCAAATTCTTTCAATTTTTTTTTTTTTTAGAAAATGTAGCAGCCTACATGACATTCACTGAACAAACCTTTACGACAATTTTTTTTCAAATTTTCAATTTTTGTTTATTTTTCATTTTTTTGGTGGGGGGAAATGTAGCAGCCTACCTGACATTCACTGAACGAACCTTTTTGACATTTGTTCTTTTTTAAATTTTTTAAATTTTTTTCTAACTTTGTCTAAAAAACAAAAATCAATGCTTTGCAACATTACAGCAGACACCCCCTTTACATCCTAGCATCATTAGCATCTTTAAAACAAAAAAAACCCAGTTATTTGCATAGTCAGAGGTGTCCGAGAATTTGCGAGAACCAGTGGGAACACTAGGAAGCACCACGTGCTTTTCTCGTTAATCAAGCGGAAGCTCGTCAATGGAGACAGATTTTTGCCAAGGGGTGCGCTTAATATTCAAAATGCTCATAGATTGAGGCACTCGTCACTCGAGGTTCCACTGTATGTATTCACTATATGTATACATACATACATATACTGTATGTACATACATATACTGTAATAAGGAACATATATTTATAGCAAACCATGAAATAATATATATACTCCATAAAGGTCCATAAATTTTTGTTATTTTTTGAGCCACATTCAACATTAAACACAATGCCATATCACAGTACAATGCTCCAAAACACCGTAAGCCAAAACCCTGTTTGTTGTGTATTTTTGTGGATATTTTCCAGGTGAAGAGCGTCTCCTATCCAGACATTGTTGACTATGGAAGGTTTACCTTTTATAAATACCTTTGTATCTCCTTTTATATGTATACCTTTCAGAAAATCAGTAGGGGCCATGAGGATTCGAACCTGCTCTCATGGTACTCCCAAGCTAGTGCCCTACACACATACACCACGATATGCCAGAAGCAATGCAACATGGGATTCCACTGAACCCCAGTGTAATGGTACAGTGGTCTAGGGCATTAGCTTGGGAGTACCAAGTGAATGGGTTCAAATCCTCCTCATGGCTCCTACTGATTTTCTCATTGATACATGACAAAAATGTGATTTCATTATGTACTGTATATCGGTGTATTCAATAAAAAGCAATGGATAGGAATTAAAACAATAATCCAAAAGTTTATTATTCTTGTAACTTTTTATCTTGGCTTTACAGTATTACAGTGTAATATATTCACATGAATGAACTTATGCCCCAAAAGGACAAATACTCTGTCAAATGGTCTCCAAACTACACAAAGAGGCAGGGAAATCAGTTTAGAGCATAAAGGTCCCACGTAGGAGTTGTTCTGGAAACTGGAATATACCAGAAGAGTGATGGGGAGGCTTCTAACGTGGATGAAAAATTTTTAATCGACAGATATATATGAGGGCAGTAATTAGAGGCAATGTGTCGGACTGGAGGAATGTCACTAGTAGAGTACCACAGGGTTCAATTCTTGCACTGATAATGTTCATTGTCTACATAAATAACTAACCAGAAGGAATACAATATTATCTGAACATCTTTGCTGATGATGCTAAGAGGCTAGGACGGTAAGAAACTGACAATTATCATGCCCTTAACCACTGTGCTGCGTCAACCGAGAAAACTCGGTCAGTGGGAAACTGCGGCAACCGAGAAAACACCTTTTGAATATTTCGTACTCATTCAAAATGTGTGCGCGGTAGGTTGTGTATGAAATGGACTCTTGTGACCTCCAGTGAGAGGCAGCCATCTTGGAAAAAATTCCTAGAATGTCGTAGGGCTGCTGGCTGGATTGGTAATAAGTGAGCAACCATGGGTGGCGCACGCGCCTCTGGCTCCCAAACACCTGTCAGACGCGGTGTTGAAAGATCGCTCTCTGTCCGTGAAATTCAGACCTTATTGTTTGAAGAACATAAGGGGTCATGATATTGATGAAGCTAGATGCAATAAGCACCTAATACAAAGGTCGGATGCAAGTGATACAGCACCGATGAGGATGATACAGGGAGCATATCCAGTTGTTTGCTCTGAGCACCACCCTTGCTCACCCATGCCATCTCCAATTTTTGTAGATGATACATCGATGAATTGTTTTCTGGGTTCAGTAATGATGCATTTGATACAAGTAGCATAGATGAACAGTGTTAGTGGGCTCCATGGTGGTGTTTTCCATAGATATCTTCAAGAATAGCTGAATCTCTTCCTGATTGACAATCTCTTCTAGTGAGGAACATGACAAATCGATCTTTACAAGACTCCTTTACAAGTTGATCTTTCCTATAATCCTTTCAAGACTACCTTACACTTCACAAGCTTCCCTACATACCACCTACAGGTACTAAAGCCAAGGATGTACGCGAGTGCGTTATTTGGAAGCACACAGAACGAAGAAACAGGAAGCGAAAATCTATCTGTACTTGGTGCAACGAGAGCGAAGTCACGCTGTGTACCATGGACTGCTTCCTTGGTTATCACTCACTTCCAAAGTACTGTGTAATACAGTGTGTTACTGTGTAGTGTGTGAGAAACTGTACATATTATAATTTTAGTGAATTTTGAACAAGTAATATTGCGACAATAAACATTTATTGTGAACATATTACTGACACGAGTATCACAGTTCCATGGAACATTATGAACGTTCTACTGTATACATATTGTAAATGACACATATTCATCATATACGATAAAAAAAAACTGCATTGGAAATACATGTAACAAATTATTGAAAATATATTTGTAGCAACTCGCGGTATTGAATGGCACGCGTGACTGCTCCTGGGAGCTTCTTGCACGGGCGACCAACCCGTGGCGCTCCTTTCTCCATGTCTCCACAGCCAAAGTGGAATTTTTTTAGTTAGTTTTTTTACATGTACATGTTTAGGGAAAGGAATTTAACATTTTACAAAGATCAAAAAATTTTTGCCAACAATTGATTTTATGCGCACAGGGGAAATTTCACAATTAACTCAGCGCATCACAGTGGTTGAAGAAGACCCAGACAAAATAAGTGTATGACACACTACTTGGCAAACAAAATTTAATGTGAAGAAATGCCATGTTATGGAATGTGGAACAGGAGAAAATGTATCATACATATCCTACAAATTATGTATAAAAAAAAAACTTTAAAAAATTCATATAAAGAAAGAGATCAAAGGGTGGTTCTAGGTAGAAAACAATCACATGAGGACCATACAAAGAACAGTGTGTGTGGAGTCTATGCTATGCTTTCCAATTTCAGAACTGTTTATAAATACATGGATGGGTAAATACTAAAGGAATTGTGCATGACCTTTATGAGACCAAAACTGAAATGTGCAGCAGTTTTATGGTGCCCATATCTTAAGACGCACATCAACAAATTGAACAATGTACAAAAACATGCAACTAAATGGCTTCTGAGACTGAAAGACGGGCTATGAGAAGAGGTCAGAGACCTTAAATATACCAAAGCTAGAAGACAGATGAAAAACAGGCAATATGATCACTATATACAAAATAGTAACGAGATTCGTCAAAATTAATAAGGAAGATTTCTGGAGACCTGGAACTTCAAGAACAAAGAAGTCATAGATTTAAGCCAACTAAACCAAGCTGCCAAAGCAATAAGAGAAAATTAACTTTCACAGAGTGGTAGATGGTTGGAACAAGTTAAGTGAGAAGGTGGTGGAAGCCAAAACTGTCAGTAGTTTCAAAGCATTATATGACAACGAGTACCGGAAAGACGAGACACCATGAGAGTAGCTCTCATCTTGTAACTACTGGTACTCTCAAATAATTACACGAATCCATGCCAAGATATCCATTCGCTATGAGGCACACAAACCCTTCAAATCATTAAAACTTCTTTTAAACAATCCTTATTAATTCAAAAATTGTCAGAAGTTCTTTCTGAAAATAACAAAGACCAATTGCCCAATCCAGCAGCAGCTGAGTTGTGCTGCCACTATATGCCACGGTTGTGCACATTTTGTGTGCACAAACCATGTTCACAGTTGTTGAAAACTCTCTATATATTACATCAGCCTTTTGTCTTCCATGGCATCTAAGACCATGTCATAGTGGTCTAGCAATTGTGAAAAGCAGGAGCACCCTGTTCTGAGCCCATGTTGCCCAGGGTTATGTAGGCAATGAGATTCAATGTCTCTTGTGATCGTACTTCTCAGCACACTTTCAAAGATTTGTATGATGTGTTATACTAGGGCTATTAGTTTAAAATCTTTATAATTCTGCTTTACTACCTCCTTTGTGATTACCAAAGTGTAGTTACAGGATGAGAGCTATGGTCGTGGTGACCCATCTTCCCAGCACTCTTTGTTATACTGTACAGTGTATAATGCTTTGAAATTACTAATGGTTTTGGCCTCTTCCACCTTCTCGCCTAACTTGATCTAACCATCTACCATTCTGTTTGAAAAAGCAAATCTTCATATATTTCTTTGGCAGCTTTGTTTAGTTAGTTAAAACCTATGACATCTTGTTCTTGAAGCTCCAGGTCTCAGGAATTCTTCCTTATCAATTTTGTTGATTCCCATTAATATTATTTACATAGTGATCATAACGCCTCTTTTGCTTCTAT